CATCAAGACATACTTAAATAATTTCCGTTTTCTGTCTACTTATACAATTTTGCTCTCTAAACTGCCGGCAATTACCATATTTCAATCAAACTTTTCCATTGCATAAATAAGCAGTTAAGGCAGCGGCAGCAACGATCAAAAATATGACATGACATTAAAATAACAGCCAAATAACAACAACAAGCCAAATAAAAGCAACAACAACAATAACGTCAACAGAGCACCAGTAGTACTACTGACAGTTTCTGACATGCACTTGAGTACCCATTCAATGACAAAGGTCCTTCTTTTTAGTCAGTCTTTTTTTTTTTACTTTCTCCCTCGCATGCTAATGACGTCGTTTTTTGCTGTTTTTTTTTTTTTTTTGTGCGGGTGTGTATATGTTTGCAAGCAATCATGTCTTGCACTCTCCTTAACCTTAGCCTTAGTTTTGAGTGGCAACATTAGACGACGACGACGACGACGACGACAATGACGACAAATACGACGGCGTGTTGTCCTTGACAATAACATTTTTTACTTGCACATATGAAAAAAGGTACATACATACTTACAAAAAAAAAATATGTTAGCGTTATGCTTGTATGCGAATTGTTCTTCAAATTGTGTGTCTTCTTGCCTTATTTGCCCTTTTCTTATCAAACACTAAAAACAATTTTTTTTTTTCAAATGTCACTTAGTTTTGAGACACGCTAATCACGAAAATTATGTCAAGTCGAAATTTTGGCAGCTGTCAGTTTCACTAGAAGTGGAAAATTTCCCAAAAATAAAACCTACTAAGCGCTAAGACTCACTAATTTTGAATTCTATACCAAATTTAAACTGTTTTCAGTTGACAACTATCATTTTTTCTAAAACTAAGAAAGCCTTAAAATTGCGCTTTTTAGTGACTTTTCTGCAGTTCAGTGACACAAAATTCTTGCATAGCAAAATAAATGATTTATTGTATTATTTATAAGGAATTTCTTTATTTATAAAGAATTTTGAATTAAATTATAAATTAATAACAGTAATTGTAATTATATAGGGCATTTAATAGACGGTTGAAATAGGTAAATGAGCCATAGTTGCGATCGTCTGCTATAAGTTCAGGCAAAAAAAAAATTTTTTCCTTGATTTTCTGATGATTTTCCTTTCATTTTACACGAAATTCGTCATTCGCAAAGTTCATATCTCAATAACTTTATTTAAAAAATGAAAAAACTGCCATATCGGATTTAAGATTTTTAAAAACGATGATATCTGAAATAGTAGCTATAAATTTATTGTTATTCCACATACTTTTCCATCAGAAACGGCATTAAGCAGCATAAATGCAGTTTTCGCCGATGTATTGCTCGAGGTCTAACTTAAAATATAGAAAGAAAACAAAAAGAGAGTTGCCCACTGTCGGAAAATTGCAGTTTAAGTAAATTGCTATAATAAAATAAATATTGCCACGTAACTAATATAACTATTAACACGTTTAAGAAGGCTTGCAGCCAACATTTTTTTGTGGAAGGTTGCCACCTATTTGAAAATTTTAATGTAATTGAAAAGATAAATTAAATATTTCAATAGAGGTATCTAACTAAGGAGCTTTAGGAAATTTTGCCGGTGAAAATTTTTTTGAGAAGGGTTGCCACATGTTAGAAAAATTTTTGTCAATTAAATTGATAAAATAAATGAAATATTAAAATATGGGTATTAAATTAAAGAGGTGTGAGAAAGTTTACTGCCGAAAATATGTGAAGCGGGTTGCCACCTACTTGAAAAATTTAATTCGGTAAAATTGGAAAGCAAAGGTATATTAGTGAATTAGTACACCTTTGAAGAAAGTGTGCGATATGTAGACGATGTAGACTGGAGACATAAATAGACTATAAATTAGATTCCCATGAGAAGAGTCGATAATTTACCTTATACTAGTTTGAAAATTTCGCCTCACAAAGTCCTTAAATCTATTATATTTTTTATGAATGAGGCTCTAAGAGTTTTGCGATGAAGGCTATGAAGTAACAACTCAAAAATACTTTTAAGGCGTTTTCGTTGTATACCAAAATTGTAATATTCAATTAATCTTATTAATTTACTTGAATTAATTTTTTCAAGCAGATGGCAACTCTCTTTAAAAATATTTTCCATATCAAGATTTCTTAAACCACTTTATTTTGAACATTTCATTCATCCTATCTTAAGACAAAAATTGTTGTTGCAAAATTTTGTGAATTTTTATAGTTTTTCTTCAAAGTTTAAAATTTTATTATTTTATTAATTTTTATTTTATTTGGTTTTTGTTATATATGGTGCTGTATTTTTACAAACAAAAAAAAAACTAATAATAAACATTAAACAAACAAATAAAAACTAACAGGACTAAACCACACTGATGACCAGCGAGTGACCGAAAATGATAATAGTGCTCTTGGTATGTCCGACTTACGTTCGAGAGTGACTGAAAATGAACAAGCAGCTAGATGTAGAAATGAATATTTTTATTTTATTAGAATGAGAGACAGGTCTTGGGGTCTTCATATTGGACTTTGTTAAGTAGCGAAATTTTTTGATAATTTAAGGCTGCTGAAGCAATGTTAGAAAAGCCTAAGAGAAAAATATTTATTTTGATACTTTCGACAGAATGAATTTGACAAGAATGAATTTGGACAGAATTTCACTGCAAATATTTAAATCATTTGGTTTTCACCATTTGACCACAAACTAATCCATATCCACTTGATATTTGTGCAAACATGTGTGACTTTGCTTATGTAGATAGCGCTGCTATTTATTTAATTTGTATTTGCCTACTAAATATTTTCGTTCACAGAAATTCACTATCTGTTGTGTGCATTAATGCAAATAGTTCAATTTGTTTACATGTTTTTAAAAAATAGTCTGTGATGAATACAAGCTTTGTGCATATTTGTATGTGCACGTTTTTTTTTTTTTTTGCGAATGTGCAAATGTGCTCGTATGAAAATATATCACATTTGATGCATTTTGGTTAAACAAACTATTCTCAATTGCTTTTAGAAAAACTAGTTAATTTTTGACAAATTCCTCAAAAAGTATTTATTTATGTATGCGAGATAAATCAAATAATTTAGAATCACCTAAACTTTTGTTTTACTTTACGGGGATGTTTTTTTTTTTTTTTTGCAAAATTTTTACGTATTATAATATTATCAGATACGTTAAAGGTTCTCAAAAGTGCCGTTTCGGCGATTTCGTCATGTCATCTCTTCGCTATTTTAGTAAACTCCTTGGGGATAAGAAGCTTGGTGTCAAATGTCGCGCCGGTTCATCGGCCTTGCAATTACTCTCTGTGTCGCAGTATACCGTAACCCATATTTCCTTTGTCCACCAATCTGGGGAGTCCCGAAAGCTCCGTTAGTAGGCTACAATGACCACTTGTCTGGACTGTTCGTATGAATTTCCGCAACGCTTGCATTTTTAATCAGCACTTTTAGAAAATTTTCGGGTAAGCAGTTTTGTAGTCCATTCAATTTCAGTGCAAATTTCCTATAGCTAAAAACTACCGCGGTATTTTGAATATTTTTGTCGAGGGTGTTGAGCATGTTGTTCCATATAAAAATATAATTTGTTTATGCGTCCATTATTAGACTAAAATTGTATGGGCTACAAAACTGCATACGCCGAAATTTTTTAAAATTTCCAATTAAAAAATTTAAATTTTGATAGATTTTTTTTGAAGTTTGATTAATTTTTAGTTGCGATCCCGTACGAGTCCGGACTAGTCAGAAATAGTCAGAATCAGTCAGATTTTACTGGAAATCGATACCGTACTCGGTTCTCTGACTACTGAGAGGACAAAAAAGAGAGTAAATACGGTTCTCTCTCTGTCAGAAGCTACCAGTCTTAGTCCGAGAATTTTTTGCTGGTAAATTCTGGTAAATATGTCAAACGATCAGCTGTAGTGTGTTTGGCAACCAAATTGTAAACAAAAGAAAAGTGCACTCTGCTAATTCATGTTGAAAAGTACTTAATTACTAGTTGCGATTCCGTACTTTTCAATGTTACTCCCTCGCTCTGAGCGATTTTTAATTTTTTGACAGTTTTACTAGTTTTAGTCCGAGGAATACGGGATTGCACCTTTTGTGAAATTTGTGCAAGCTTTGCAACTTCGACTTGTGAGTTATTTCTGTTATAGATTGAATTATATTTTAAATGAAAATTGCTATAAATTCCAATTCAAAAAAATTAAATTATGATAAAATTTTTTTGAAGTTTGATTAATGGTGAAATTTGTGTTTCTGTTGCAGATTGAATTATATTTCAAATGAAAATTAATAAAAATAAGCACAAGTTGCAAACAATATCAATTTGAATTTTGGTGCTAAATCTTTGACCATGTATATTCTTATCCAACTTAAATTTCAAGCAAGATTAGCAATATGTAATCCGTTGTTTGCTTTGAAATATACATATACATATAATATGTAATACCTTTAGGAACCTTTAAAAGGTTAAATTTACCTGATATTGGCTTAAAAATGTTTTTTAGAAAATTTTCTCCCAAAAATTTCCATTCAAAATTGTAAACAAAGTTTGACAATGTACTAAGTGATGAACAAATTTTGGAAAATGTCAAATTAAAGCTTATTAAATTTTATAAAATATTCAGGTAGTAATTTTTCTGCTTTAAATAATAAAATCCATCTCACGATGTAGGCAAATTTGTTAATAGGTTTAGTTGCACCCCTTAGAAATTTTTAATCATTGGACGGATTTTTTTTCCGTAGCGAGAAACCTGCGTTAAAGATCAAACTGGTGCTCGAAAGAAAATAAATTTAGGAAAGTTTCGTCTCAAAAAAGTATTGTAGTAGAAATTTCAGTATATTAGTTTTCTGCATGCGTTTCCATACTAATGTTCAGAGGTTTAGACATTCAGAATAACAATAACTATTTTTTTTTTTAATTCAAGTTGGATGGAAGTAGAAAAAGTCACATATACACATAGAAAAACAAACGCAAGCTTAATAAATTCAGCTCCGACTTACCACAATTCGTCGCACGCGTGCCATTTTATGCTAAATATGTAGTTGTAGCTGATCACTTCCGTTTGCGGCAGCTAAGCGATAACAATCGAAAACCGGAACACTTAACGCTGGCACGCTTTTGTCGCTTGCCTTGTTACAAATTGGCTTGTTGCTTTTGTTTTCTAGGGATAAGTATAGATTTGCTGCAACAATCGGCTAGCTTTTGTCAAAAAATAAAAATAAAAAAATATTAAAAATCACTCATACGCCGTGTATGTCAGCAATGAACTACATAAGTGAAAAAAATCAGTACAACCGCTCACAATGGCCGAGCGGAAATCACGTTGGCGACAGCACGTCGCTAAAACAAAAGCGCACACGCTACTTTGTCGCCAATTGCCGTTTGCACAGCAGCGTCAATGGCACACGTTTTTGCTTTTAGGCCACTTGAAACGTGCGTTTATCACACACACACACACACACACACAAAGCGCTTGGGTGAAATAGCAAGCGCCGCCGGAAATGTTTGCACGGAAATCGCGTTCGAATTACACTTCAAAGCAATTAAAAAATGTGTGTAAATATGTATGTATTTACATATGTCAGTATTTGCCAGCTATTGGTCACTGTGGCGCTGCTTGTATTGGGGAGAAATCCCAAACAACGAAAACCAAAATTTTACAAATGCGTCGCTGGCTGGCTTCCTACTCAAATTAAGCTTGCGGCTTCAAAATACTTTTACTTTCTACCACAATCTGACATACTCATTGGCGCGCACATGCACGCACTCACACACATACGCACGTGAAAATTTCTCTACACTGTATTTAATTAGCGCAAAAGTTCGCAGGAAAAGCAAGTCACAGCTGGCAAAAATGCGAAAAAATACTACTCGTCATAGCGGAATTGCCTGGAGTAAGAAGAAACTTTGATTTTATTGCACTTTTTTATTTTAATAAAATTTTCACACTCTTGTTTGTCAATAAATATTTGTTTTGTCACAATTTCTCATTTTTGCTTTTTTTGTTGTTGTTGTTTCTCAAAAATATCCCTTTTCTAGCCGTTGGTTTTTTGCTTCCCAGGCACGCGCTTATTAATTCGATTTTTTCCGCTTTATCGACCACTTTGTCGCACGTCTCAATAGTAACTGAGCCAGTTGCGTGCTTTGCTGGAGATAAAATAGTACTCCGGGAAAATTGTATTGTATTGTAAATAGGGAAAAAGTTCACCAGCATTTGCTTATTGTTTTTTTTTTTTTGTTTTGTTTTGTTGGCAAGCATGCGAGAATGCCGCAGTGATGCGCTTTCAATGCAGCGCTGAGAGCGTGAGCGCCAGCGTCAATATGCGAGTGCGCAAAATGCAAAGAGAGTACTTTATGAGGCGGCTAGAGTAGCCAAGTGTACCAAAAATTAGGCGATGCCGAAATGCAATAACTACTAGGACTTTTGAATTTGAAATTGTATGCGCTAGATTTTGGTCTCGCCCAGCCATTTTGATAGAAATTATTTTCAGTTGCTCCTTTTATATTAAACTTGAAGCGTGGCATGAAGCGTGGAGACCTCACAGCCGCCCATTTGGGTTTCCGAAAACCGTTCATAAATAACTCCGTTGCCAAATCCACAGACGCAATGCCGCCAAAGTTATGCTTTATTAAGCCCTTCAAGGTTATCGTGTTGTAAGGAAATCATTAGCTAAGGATCCTAAGTCTAGTCCATTAATAGACCAAAGCGTATGATGAGAGTACAGGGACCGGCGAATTTACACCTAGATTTCAGAAAGGTGTATGAATAGGCACATATCCAACTAAAATCCAGGAGGAAATTCATGCTATTGATATCTGCCATGTCGCTCAGCCTTTATCCGGTCCATCCAAGGTATACTCCTAAGAAGATGGAAGTACTTACCCTTGGGTTGCAGTCCATTGACGTATGTATTTCAAAACGCAAAAGACAAACCAAGATATTTATAACTCCCACGCGTGGAGTCCCCGAACGAATTCTTTACTTTCTTTCTTTTTGAGTGTAAGCACATGGTATTAATTTAACAAAAACTTGCTAGTAAAAGGTTAAAGAATAACACTTAGTAAAAGACCAATAGATAAAGAAAAGGATAAAGGCAAAGGTAAAAATAAAAACAAAAAACAAAGATGAGAAAAAAAGAAAAAAAATGAAGATCAGGACAAAGGTGAAGGTGAAAATGTAGATGAAGAAAATTATAAAGATAAAGCAAAAATAAAGATAAATATAAAGAAAAAGATGAGGATGAGGATACCGATAAAAATTAAGATGAGGATAGAGGAAGAAAGATTAAAATAAAAGTAATTATAGGGAAAAGCATATAGATAGAGACACAGAGAAGTAATATGGGAACTATTTCAGGATTTTCGGGATTCTCGTGACTTATCGATATAAAAATGTATATTTTTATCGGTTTTGTTGTCGATATTTTTATCACTTTTGCTATCGATTTTGTTATCGATTTTGTAATCGATGTTTTGTTGTCGATTTCGTTACCGATATCTATTGTTATCGATTTTTCTATCGTTTTTATTATCGATATTTTTAAAGAATTTGATATCGATTTTTTAATCCATATTTTTATCAATTATGTGATTTATATTTTTGTCGAATTTGCTTTCGATTTTGTTATCGATAATTTTATCGATTTCGCTAGAGATATTTTTATCGATTAGCTATCGATATTTTTATCGATTTTGTTATCGATATTTTTATCAAATTTGTTATCTAAATTTGTTATCGATATTTAGATGGATGTTACTATCGATTTTGTTATCGACAGAGTATAAAGATAACAATGAAGATCAAGGAAGACAAAATAGCATAAATGTAATCACAACGAACAGGGTAGATGTAGGGATCTAGATTGAAAAAAAGACAAAAATATAACCTTAAGCAAAAGCAGGTGTATGTATGTATGTATGTACATATTTATATTGGTTATGAGAGAAACTACCCTACAAGACAGCTGAGTATCATATGAGTACTCATATTATCATTACTCCTAATCACAAAAGTGCTTATCAAAGTCCTCATTTTCGTTCAGGCCATGGGAAAAAATTGAGTACTTTCCCCTCAATGTTGTCATCAGAAAGTCCTCAGTACTAATAGTCAAACTACTCATTTATGCCGTACTACAAAAACAAAAGTGTAAATGTGTGAGAATTTTTGCCTAAAGTGCTCAGCAATGTCTTGTAGGGTAGAAATGTAACGTAAGCTGCACTTCTACAGTGTGGCCCAGGCGCACTTACTATGTTTTTATTGTGATGAAGGTTGTGAGAGTCTTACAACTTTGGAAATGATCATCCTATTAGAGAGGATACGATAGAAGGCTTAGGTCAGGTGAGTTAGGTTGGTCGGCAGTCCTAAGCGAACTCAGGGTTCCTTGTAATACTGCATGAGGTTTTTATTTATTTTCCGTTCCCTTATGAACCACTCGATGTTTGCCAAAGAAGTGCATAGGCTTCTAACATTCATCGCTTTGAAGTCATCGAGATCGTTGAATAAATAGCTGCCAAGAGCTTTTACTCTCCATTTTGATAGCGCAGGACAATGGCAGAGAAGATGTGGGGTAGTTTCTTCTTCGTCTTGATCCATGCAGCTTCTGCAGTAGGCGTCCCAGAGTACGTCCAGTCTAGCTCTTTGTAATACAATCAGACAATGTCCGGTAAGAACTCCAGCCTCTTTAAATTACACGTTGAGCATCTATGCCTGGCCAGTGTATTTCGGCAATATGATAGGTCGGTTGCATTCGCCAGCTTTTACTGGCAATTTCTATGAGTTTTTCAGTCAGTAGAAATTTGCTGATTGGAGGAGGGATGTCGAGAGTATCCCTTATATACATATGTATCTGGCAATATATTTCCAAAACGCGCGATTTCACCAGGCGTGCGGTTTCCTCGCATGTTACAATGGCCACTTACCCAGACATTGCGAGTGTTGGATGTCTCAGCCATCCCTTTGAGAGATCGGTGGCATTGTATAACTAAATACTGTTGAAGTCAGCGACAACTTTCCCAGAGATTTAATAGCCGCCTGGTTGTCAGTGGAAATATAGAAGGCTTGGCTTTCTGAAAAGAAAAGAAGTTATGTACTAAAATACTTTAGCCAGCAATACAGTGTTTCATCAGCCTATAATGATAGGTTAGGAATTCGTGTATGGAGAGTTCTACACTTCGACTCGGATACATAATAGCTCATAGTGAATTTAAGCGTTATGAGACATAATAGAGAGGATAGTCAAGATATCAAACGGAACCACTTTTTATCCCCGCCAAAAAAAGAAAATTAACGGGTCCAAGGAGTCTTCTATCTTTATTCGACTGGAGAAGAAATGTGGCTTACACAGCTACGCGAGCCCTTTCGACTGGAGGCCCAGACATTGGAACAACAAGTCACCGAGAGGCGAATTTTGCAGCTCAAGACCCCTTTGGCCTCTGAACTGGTTCATCTAGCCGTGTTGTGTACTATTTCGTTAATCTTTCCATAGAAAAGCAAAAGCCTTTAAAGGGGTTAAGGTATTGAACAGGTAGGAGAAATGCAAAAAGGTACTATGCGGTATCCCTATCAAACTGAAGAGGTGCCATGCAGCGGTGGTGGGTGGCAACAACCCACAGTCCGATGAGCTTACTCGAGCTAGAAGCAAGCGTACCCCGTGGTGAACCGAGCATGTGAGTGGACGCAGGCGCAGTGTGAGGAGGTCTTCGCGTTGAAAGGAAGGAAACGTGGCATCCAGCGACCCGTACGTAACAAGTGCATAAATGGAATCCAAGTGAAAAAGACCGCTTATGCAGTCTTCTCAATGATCAAGGATTTTCACTTGATACTTTCTAAAAAAAAAATAAGAAATATCCTTGGTCGAGGAGTCAGAATTTTTTTCTCTATGCAGTCCGAGTGTATTTCCAGGAATACCTGCGTGGGATATCATATTCGTTTATCGTGTAGCGCCATTAAGCAGTCCCCTGTAGTAACCTACCTCTGATACCACTGTTTATAGAATGATCAATTATCTCCTTTGCCATTAATACCTGGAAAGATCTTCTTTGTAAGGCAAAAGGCAATATCCTGTGGCAATTTGTTGTTGGCCATTTCAATGAATGCTGACCTCAATCACTGTTTCGGGGCTAACTCGTTCAAGGTCTTTCTACACTCGAGGAGATGCTGATACACTGTACCCGTACATAGAGACCTAATCACAATATTGCTAACAGAATAAATGGCGGTAGGCTATGCAGAAGTTGAGAACCTACAAGGCCAGAGGTGGCCCCAACCTTGAAGAATTAGTAGACCAAGTATTCCAAGCAGCATATGCGGCTCTGGAATTCTAGTGGAAAGCCTGTTTTCAAAGCAGAAAAGAGGTCTGGTGTGCCCATTTCTAAGCTTCGTTCAATCTGGTTGGATTCCAGCCGACCTTCTGCTTACCGTAAAGGTCGATAGCAGGGATTTTTAGTGGAATTTCTGCGGATTTACTGAGGAGTCTAAGGCCTCCTTTATTAAGATTAAAGTCGCCATCTGCTACCTATCCAGTTGTTTGGTATATTGTACATATGCCCTTGCCAAAAATCAGCCACCATAAAAAAAGACAACCGCTTTGTGAATCCCTAAGTGTACTACTTTGCGTGATATCAGACTTCCTATTTTCCTCACAACTGCCTTGTACTTGTATAGAGCGGTTATGGCTTTCATAGAGTGGTCCGAAAGGTTCCGAATCCAGGCCAACCGCTTTTTGTGAATTACAGCGAAGTAAATAGTTTACCTCGGTAGAGTGTGTGAGCCCCACTTTATTGAGAAGGATGTACCAAAGAGATAGTATTTTATGTTTCCATATGTAAAGTAACAATGCGGTCTGGTGGTATTAAGATTACGCACACTTTCTCTCACGAGACAAAGGATGTTGCTCACGAGAGAAAAGATGTTCTGTAGAAGTTTGCTTAATGCTTAGAGATGATTATTCAATGTTGTGAGCGCTTGATAGCTGGAACTCGACAGGCTCAGAAGAATTGTATTCAAGTGTATAGTTCCACCTTTGTAGGAGCGCACTCATCCATGGGAGGTACTTCTCGTTGCATACCTAAAGTTCGCCTTAGAATAACCTGTTGCTACTACGTA